CTGCCTAACCCTAACCCTAACCCTAACCCTAACCCTAACCCTAACCCAAAACAGCCCCGTTCAGAGCGCTCGCTTTGGAGTGCCTGTCTCTTTAAATGCAAATGAGACACAGGCAATCCGCCCACTTCTTCAGGGAGGTGTGCCCACGTCGGCACGCTAACGCTACCATGGTAACGCTACCGTGCTAACGCTACCACGCTAACGCTACCACGCTAACGCTACCATGCTAACGCTACCACGCTAACGTTACCATGCTACCATGTTAACGCTACCATGCTAACGCTCACGCTACCAGGACGTCTCCACAGATAGGGGAGTGAGCTGAGGGGGGGGCAACATGCAGGTGAAAGGCTGGAATATTATAATGAGCTAGATAATATATAATAATATTAGTCTTATAATAATAATAATATTATAATAAGCTAGAGCTAATGAGGTCAGAAACTACCCACTCCTGAAACCTCCTGATTTATCTCCTGGATTCAGACTGAGGCGGCCCACAAAAACAGGACTGAGTCTTTGTTTTTCACACTCTGCCTGCTGATAGGCCCTCCACAGTCCCAAATGTACAGAATCTAATGATTAAAAACTTGGTGTTGCATAATATGTCCCCTTTAAGAACAGATGTGTTTGTTTCCTGGTGGGTTCAAACCTTTTTCTCCCATCCAAACTTCTTGGTGTTGTTCCTGACGGGCAGAGAGAGCCACCCCTCCAGCCTCATTTCTGGAGAGGAAACGAGAACCAGGATCCATTAAGTCAATATAAATGTCATTCTACTGTCAAAATAAGGATTCATTCATACATTAAAACAAATATATAGACAGAACTCCCTTTAATTCTCTAGAAAGAGAGGCCAAACTGGAAAAAAATCAGAGGATGATGTTGCATATCCTGAAAAATCGGGGGTCTTCCTCAGGCCCGTTTCTATAATGTATCCAATACACAACTGGAAAGATGAGCTCTTCACATTGGAGTGATTTATTTTAAAGCATCTACTCCAATGATAATGCAGGTCCAGTTAATGTACTCCAGTTAACAGTTGGTCTGACATCCATAAATAAGAAAAAGTCTGAAGCCTCATCAAATAAAACAGCAGAACCTCCACAGAGTCTAACTGGTTCCAGGACGACTTCTGTGTTAAATACAAAGAATGCTTATTTTTCCTCATCAGAGAGTTATCAATTTTTATAAATTCATATGATGTGATTTTCTGGAATTTTCTTTGGGATTCTGTCTTTCACTGTTAGAATGTACATATGATTAAAGTTATAGATCGTTGCATTCTTTGTAAGTGGGCAAACCTGCAAAATCAGCAAGGGCTCAAATACTTATTTCCCCCAGTATATATATATTTCTATGACTTCAACGTCATAAGAGTCGAATATTTGACCAAATTTCCCTTCTGATGTTGGAACATCCGTCTGTTTAGGCGTCCTAATAGAGCAGTGTTTTTCAACCCCTGGTCCTCGGTACACTAGTGTGCCGTTAGTGATGGTCAGGTGTGCCGTAGAAAATCATCCTATTTCACCTAATGGGTCTAAAAAGATTTTTTGATAATAAATTAATTATCTGCAATTAATATTCCATTTCTGAGTGTGTGTGCTGTTCTAGTGACTGGTGGAGTAATCATGTAATAATTCCTTATGACTAGATTTTGTATTTAATTTAGTATATTGAAGTGGACATGTTAAGAGCAATTTGAAAGAAGAAATATAAAATATGATAAAAAATACATTTTTGTGTTTATTTGATTCCTATTCAAGACACTTAAGATAAGATAAGAATAAAAAAAGAATAACTATAGTGTTACTATAGGCGGCTACAGATTTGTTTAACATTTTTGGTTGGTGTGCCTCCAGATTTTTCAATGAAAAAATCTACCTTGGCTCAAAAAAGGTTGAAAAACACTGTAATGGAGGTTCAGCAGTTCCGGATCCCTCTAAACCAGGGGTCGGGAACCTTTTTGACTAAGAGAGCCATGAAAGCAAAAAATTTGGAAATTTATTTCAGTGAGAGCCATATAATATATTTTAGAAGTGCCGCTTTACATTCGACCGTTTCATCGATGCAATTTTGTCATTGCAAATTAGACTTTGCTCTCTCCACAAAGGCGAATTCTTCAGTCCATTCGTCCTGAAATGTACGATACTCGTCATCTTTTTTTCTTTTCGCCATCTTCTCTGTCGAAGGGTTAGCTTTGAGCTAATGACCGAGCTAATGACTGATTCAAAAGGGGTAAAACGTTTACCTGTTTTACGCTGCAACGGCCAACTTAGTGCAGTATCATCCAATTAAAATAATGGACAATTGCTCCTGAACAGGACGTGAGCAGTGAAAAATCCATGGATGGATATTTGTAGCTTGTATTTATATATATTATATATATATATATATATTCATATTCATATTCATGCATTTGGCTTTTATCCAAAGCGACTTACAGGGTAGAGAGGAGCTGTATTGGCCGGGAATCGAACCCAGGTCAACTGCTTGGAAGGCAGCTATGCTAACCACTACACCACCACTCCTATTTTAGTGAGAATATTTTGTTTTATCTGCGAGCCAGATGCAATCATCAAAAGAGCCACACCATAGGTTCCCGACCCCTGCTCTAAACTGTGAGCCGACCTCCTCCGGGGCGTTGCTCACCTGCGTAGGCGGCGTCGTCGGCGTCGAACTCGGGCCCGCTGCTGAGGCTGGCGGAGTCCATGGACTGAACGCTGAGCGCCTGCAGGAGGGTCCGCAGCTGCTCGATGTCGCTGTCCTTGCTGTCCAGCGCCATCTGCAGCTCGATGCGCATCTGGCTCTCCTCCGCCAGTTGCTGCACGCCAAAAGGGAGGGGG